GGGGGGGGGTGCGGGGGAATGGGGCGGAAGGAGGGAGTGTGGCGGACGTGGGTTCTAGCACATTCTGGCGGCATTGCGCCCAAAAAAGAAGGCCCCTCAACCCGAGGTGGAGGGGTAGGGGAGTAGGGGAGCGGGGAGACGACGGAGAGAGGACTGTCTTTTCCACACAATCTTAGCACCCGTACCTGCCTCCCACCTTGGGCACAAAGGACCAAAGAAATCACTGCAGGTGTCTGATTCCAGGCTGCGAACGTGAAGGGGACAGGCCGATTGGCAGGGGAGGGGAGCCCCCTGCTTCACTCCGGGAAGCTTGTCAGAGGAGACGCGTGCGCTGCCAGGCCGGAGCCGGCGCTGGGCCACTCAGCCGTGGCAAATTCAAACACACACACAGGCGGGGGTGCTAAATTAACGGCTCTTTTTACATAGAGCCCAAATAAAACTGTAATCAGCGGCGCGTTACTTTTCATTAAGTGAGTCTGACAGCAGCATATTCAGACGCGACAAGGGAACAGGCGCGGGAAATATACGGCCCTCCTTGCCGGCCTCCGAGTCTCTGATAATTCCTTAAGCTCCATTAACAACTCTTAGCCGCAGGAAATGGGCTCCCGGAAAACGTCTCCAAATCTAAAAGCTTTATCGACCCCTCAAACCGCCGCTGATGGCTCCATTTTTTTCTTCATTTCTTTCCTTTTCCTCTCCCCCCCACCCCCCCTAACTTAAGGGAGAGCCGTCCTGCGAGGTAATAGACTTTGACACAACACCTTCTTAACTAGAGAGTGAGGCAGAAGAAGCCAGCCCTTAAATGATATTTAAAAGGCAACCAATTAAGATTTAAAGTGGTGGGCTCCTGAGATTATGCGGGCGATTTGTACTGAGTCACTTTTTCCTGAGCAAGCCTCAGAACCACCCTTCTCTCTCTCTCTCTCTCTCTCTCTCTCTCTCTCTCTCTCTCTCAACAAAAAGAATGTCAGGGAAGAGCAGAGTGGGGTGCAGAAAGGAAATCTTCCATTACAATACTCCATCCCTTGGTGGCCAAAGACTCTTGTCCTTGGTCACTGGGATGCTCCAACAGTCTCCCCACAGCAGCTAAGCAGGCGGCTTCAGACAAGCCATCGGCCCATTCTCCCCAAAGCCACTAGGTGACTTCAGTGCCCCAGGGTAGGTGGTCTCAAAGGTGGGGTGCAGGAGCCCCACTGCAGGTGATTGTTCAACAAGGGCTGGTGGCTCACCCACTCTCAACCGCCGCTTCCCCTCAGAGGTAACAGAACACAGGAATGTCCCTTAGAACCTCCTTTTCCTTCCCGTTCATCTCAGCAGGATCCTCCCCTGGGGGCAACTCTGCGACAGGCCTTTTTTATTGCACTACCTCTGACTGACCTCTGGCCAAAACGACCAGGGGTGGGCACCACCAAGAAGAAAATGGCAAGCCACTCACCCAGGGTCTCAGGGAAGGAGGTGAGGTTGTGCAGGAAAGGAAGCCTTCTGAGAGTTTGCTTGGACCCTCATTGGAAAGGACTTTGAACAATGGGGAAGAAAGGGGAGGGAAGAAGGAAAAGGTAGGGAGAAGAGAAGGGAGAGTAAGGAGGGGGACCGTAAGGCAGGAGGGGAAGAGGGTGGACAGCCAGCCTGCTAACTTTTCAGACACCTGCTTTACAGATCTGCGAGGAAACTACCTCATGCCTGAGAGGACCCCCTGGCACATGGAGTGAGGATCTCGGGGTTCACTGCACATTCATTTCCAAGGGTGCTCAAGGAACCACATCCATCCCCTTGGGAATTGGAAAGGTTGGCGTCCGTTCTCACCAGCACAGACTTGGGGGCACTGTGGGCCCTTCTGCACTATCTCAGGCCCTAGAGGGGAGCACAGGCCATGGAGGCTCGCTCAGCACCTCAAGACTTGCTCAGAGCCCACCCGTATGTAGGAAGGCATCCGCAGCTCAGGGCCAAGAATCAGGGCCTCCCGGCACACTTCTGTTTCCACTTCAGCCTCGGGATGTGGTGGCCAGTCTGCTTGGGACCTCCCAGAGAAGAGGTGGTGTTTCTGCCTAACAAATATGAGCCCCACTTGGTTTGCTGCAAGCTGTCAACTGAGCAGAACTTGCCCATTGAATTAGAACGGTGCCATCCCTCAGGAATGGCAGCAGTAGTAGGAAGAGGAATAAAAAGGTTGACCAGCGACCACGGAATCAATCCTGACCCAGGGGGACCCTGTGGGTTTCAGAACTGTGTTCCCTGGGTTTTCAGTGGCTGCGTCCTTCTGCAGGAGAACGCCAGGCCTTTCTTATAAAGTATCTCTAGTGGGACTCGAACTGCCAGCCTTTGGGTTAGCTCCGGAGGTGTTAACGTCATGCACCACCCACACATTGCAATCCGAGCCTAGGGCTTTCATGAGGGAGCAGCAGACTGGCAGGAAAAGTATCAGCTGAGCATGCCTTTTAGTTTTTTGATCTTTGCTACTCAAGACATTGGACTCTTCCCAAATGCATATGCATGCTACCCATCCTCCTCAAAGCAGTAGAGGAGGGTTGTTTGTATGCACTCCCATCTTCCACCACTCCCTGCACTTTTCTGAGTTCCAACCCTGCACGCAGGTCCTATGCTAGGAGCTGGGAGGTGCCAAGCTGCTTGCTGCCTCTCTGGGCCCAGAGGGCAGCTGAGCAGAGCTAGGTGGCAGGAACAGTGGCCCCC